AGCTTTCGAGTTCTCCAGATCTCTTAATCAGGGTAGGTAAAGGTAAAGGTTCCCCTTGACATTTAGTCCAATCGTGTCTGACTCTAGGGCACGGTGCTCATCTCAAGTTTCCAAGACATAGAGCTAGCATTTTGTCCATAGACAGTTTCTGTGGTCATGTGGCCAGTGCGACTAGACACGGAATACTGCTACCTTCCCACCGAGGTGGTACCTATTTATCTACTCGCATTTTAACATGCTTTTGAACTGCTAGGTTGGCAGGAGCTGGGACAAGTGACGGGAGCTTACTCTGCTGCATGGATTCAATCTTATGACAGCTGGTTTTCTGACCTTACAGCACAGAGGCTTCTGCGGTTTAACCCACATCACCAGGTTGTATAAAAAGTATGGGTATGGGACAAAAGGAAAGTACAAAAAACAAAACAAAACAAACAAACAAAAAACAGCCAGATATTGTTGTGGCCATTAGAGCTGCTGTTGAACTTACAGTAGTCTCAAGATGAATATCTCAGGCTGCATGAATGACTGGTAAGTGTGCAGGTGTAATCATCAGACCTAGTAATGAATATATGAATAGAGAAGGAACAAGATTTCCTTGTCCAAAGCCCAGAAGTACAAAACCAAAGCTTGTTAAAATCCTAAGAATGTAATTGTTGCTTAAGTCACCATGCCATCCTTCATCAAAAGAAATTCCATAAATAACACAGACAAATGTGAAATTGGGAACAAAAGTGTTTAAATGAGGAAAGAGAGAAACAGGAAGAACAAAGGATAGATATTTCGCAATAGAACCCTTGCAGGAATCTCATGCTGCATTCAGCAAAATACCAGTTTTAATTGTATTCTATATGGCTGCGGGGAAAAAGCTCAAGTAAAGCATACCAGAGGGGGAAAAAATTAGCTTTTCAATTAACAGAAGGGTCTTTGGGTAGATAAATTAAAATAATAAACAACCTGTTTTACGAATGTGGGGATAGAATGCTTCTGTATCCACGATTTTAAAAAACGGCAAGCAATGGGCTGATATTGCTGCACACGGATGCCAATAAAGGATGCCAAGGTTTACGTAGCCAAGGGTAGATGGAATGTTGACACCACCACTAGCAGAGTCAAGATGCTCTACCGTAGTGGCTCTGAACTTGGAGTACAGTACATGTACTCCCAGGGGTTCGTACCAGGACATTTGGGGTACATGAAAAAAATTTGAATGGCCAAGGGAAAAGAGGCATGTACGTCAACATACTTCTTCCTGCATGTGCACAAGAGGGTGAACCAATTGATAATCAAGAAGTATGAAGCAAATCACCAGCATGTTTACTAGTTTTGTCTCCAACCAGTGCCTGTCCTCTGGCAGATGTGCTTTTCTTCCACAAAATTCTTCCACAGCTGCTGCCCCTTAACCTTAGCCAGTTTCCTATCAGGAGTGAATTGGTGAGGTGAGGCCCAGCTGAGAGCTGCCAGAGGAGGGAAAGAAATACCTTGGCTGAGCACCACAGGTTTGACCCTTCCCAGTTTCATAAGGCCTGAAAGAGGGCAGGTGAAAAGGTGAGAGTGGGTAGTGGGGTAATAAGAAGCTTCCATGAGGCTCCGGTGGAGGGAGGCTTGGAAGCCAATCCCTCTTCTCAAGGCTTCCCCCACTTGTCCTCCGCAGGTCTCATGCATCCTGTGGGTCAAGGAGAGGTGGAGCGAACAGTGGGGGGGGTAGGAAGGGTAAAACCTGCAATGCTTGGCAAACACTATTCCATCCTTTTGCAGCTGGTCAGAAAAGGGAGGCAGCGACAGGATTTTTTATGAGTCAACTGAGGCTATCCTACCATGTAGTTATAATGAAATACAGAACTGGTTAAAAGGAAAATATTGCCAGGAAAAGGGTTAGGGGCAGTAGGAAATGAAGAATATCTAACATGAGATGGATTGACTCCACAGAGGAAGCCACAGCTTCCTGCAAGAAGGTCTCTGCAAGACCTGAACAGAGCTTACTGGAAAAGACAATGTTGCTGGGAATGAGGGGCCAGTAAGAAGAGATAACAACCTAAGAGGAGAAGCTGATGGTTTGCAAAATCTGAGCAGAGTTATTAATGACATGACATTTTTGAGGTCATTAATTCATATATCACCACAAAGTGACTTGATGGTACATCTTTGGAGTTTTTTCTCCTTAATTACCAGACAATTGTACAATGACAAGATAGATGGAAAGAGAGAAACGATGACAGCATACTGTATAGGCACCAAAATTCTGCTAATAAAATAAATAAACATTGAGTAAGACTATTTTACAGCTTAAATGAGTGAGCTTCTGAATATCTGCTATTGTTTTAAAAATATTTTTACAATCAGACATAGAGTTCCTTTGCCAGCTATAACTGCCTGTTTGGCCAGGAAGGAGTTAAAATACTCCTGCGAGTCAGCTAATTTTGTCCTGAGTGGCAAGGTAAAAAGGTGAGATCTTCCTTCCTGCTCACAGGCTGAAACAATGTTTCTAACTGTGGAATCTTCATGTTTGTAAGCTTGTTCCACAGTTTATAAGAAAGCAACTGTTTTACCCTTCTGAAAGGAATTTTGAGTATCACTATTTCACCCTCTGCAGCCTGAACGCCTCCCAAATAAAAAAAGCAGCTGGGACCAACCATTCTCTTTCAAGATAAGCAAGATTGGTCTTTTTCAAATTATCAGATGCTTTAAATCTGCGGACAAAAAAGATTGCCAGTGTCTGCACGGGGAGATGTATTAAATCTATACTTTAAAAATAATAACTATCACTGCACTTTCATGTAGCAATAATGTACTGTATGGCTCTCTACTGTTGCCCCATGGCTAAAATTATTTCTCGTCTTGATCCTACAGTGGTCATCAATCTGGAGGCCTAAATGCAATGTGATGCTGGTGCATGTCATGGGACTTTCTCCCCCTCCACCATGCCCACTAAACTTCCCCCAAACCAGCTGTAGGAATGTGTGTCCCAGTCCTCTGAACAAGTTTTCTTGTGGTACTTGTGCCTGCAGAGGGGCTACCCATGAAGCTGATACAGAAGCTTCAGCAGGGCCAGAACACGTCGGCTAGACCATTGATTAAACAGGTACCATCACATTTCCCACACTCTGGCCAACTTACACTGGTTACCTGTTAGTTTCCATGCTGGGTTCAAGGTGATGACACAAACATGTAAGGCCCTAAACACCTGGCAGAACACCATCTTCCAGTAAGTTCTGCCAGCCCTATTCGTTCCTCCCAGGCAAGGTGGTTGAGGGCATTGACCCAAGGGGAGGTCTAAAAGACCACCAATTGGGCCTTCTTGGCGGTTGCATCACACATGTGGAATCAACTCCCCTTGATCCTCACCTGGCCCCATCATTGGCCACCTTTAAGAGATCAGTGAAAACCTGGTTATTTAGACAGGCCTTTGAGAATGTCAAAAGAATGCAGAGCACTTACCAATTCCTAAGTCAGAGGTTCTGCCATCCTGATTGCTTTTATTATATGATACTTTTGTGCTGTATTTCTAAGTTTATGTTTCTAATTTATAATGTGTAGTGTGCGTTTTTTCTTTTATATTACTTTCATGTTATTTTATTTTAATTTACTCTTGTTGACTATAGTTTCATTTTCTGTTGCAAACTGTCCAGAGTGAATAAACATGCATTCAAAGGAGCTTTCAATGCAAGTGAAACAGGCCATCCTCAGGTCACGAAAAGAAAAGAAAAAAGAAATCCCGGAAAGAAAAGAAAAAAGAAATCCGTCAGAGAGATAGGAAGAACATTAATGGCCAAATCAAAATTCTGAGAGAAAAAAAGCGAACACGTACTGGTGAACTCTGTAACACAAAAAGGCTGGACATCAATGGAAGACAACAGTGGTAGATGATTGTGGGATCTTTCCATGGTAAAGAAAAACCCCTTCACAACATCCAGCCAAGGAAAGAACACTCTCCAGAAGGCAGGCATATTGTTATCCAAGTCTACCATAAAGAGAAGACTTCATAAAAGTAAATACAGAGAATTCACCACAAGATGCAAACTATTCATACGCCTCAAGAATAGAAAGGCCAGATTAGACATTGCCAAAAAAATCTTTAAAAGCCAGCCCAGTTCTGGAACAGCATTTTTTTAGACAGATGAAACTAACCTGTACCAGAATGATGGGAAGAAAAAAGTATGGAGAAGGCTTGGAGCAGCTCATGGTCTGAAACATACCACATCATCTGTAAAAAATGGTGGAGGCAGTGTGTTGGCATGGGCATGCATGACTTCCAATGGCACTGTATCACTAATGTTTATTGATGGTGTGACAGAAGCAGCCGGATGAATTCTGAAGTGTTTAGGGATATATTGTCTGTTCAGATTCACCCAAATTGACTGGATAGTGCTTCACTTTACAGATGAACAATGACCCAAAACATACTCCAAAATCAACCCAGGAGTTTTTTTATGGCAAAGAAGTGAATATTTTGCTATGGCCAAGTCAATCATCTGATCTTAACCTGCTTGAGCACTCATTTTACTTGCTGTAGACAAAACTGAAGCAGAAAGACCCAAGAAAAAACAACAACTGAAGACGGCAGCAGTAAAGGCTTGGTAAAACATCACAAATGAGGAAACCCAGTGTTTGGTGATGTCCATGCATTCCAGACTTTAAGCAGTCATTGCCTGCAAAGAATTCTCGACAAAGTATTTTTTTAAAAAATGAACATTTTATTTATGATGTGTTAATCTGTCCAAGTACATTTGAGCCCCTGAAATAAGGGGACTGTGTAAGAAAATGGTTGAAATACTTATATGTTTCATAAGATATTTTTGTTCAACGCCTTGAATTAAAGAGGAAAATCTGCACTTCAATTGCATCTCGGTTGTTTAATTTCAAATCCACTGTGGTGACGTGCAGAGCCAGAATTATGAAAATTGTTGTCAGTGTCCAATTATTTATGGACCTAACTGTATGCTAGATTCCATGCTCCCTTATCAGATGCCCAATGCTGGATTGAGCTGCAAATGTTCATTTTCTTCCATTTTTTAAATGAAGATATTCTAATTTTAAAACACATAATTCACTTTTCTTTTGTGAACAGAATGCCTGATTGGCACAGAACTGCAGCTACTCATGGGTGGGAATGCGGATGCAGAGGACAGCAACACGGGTGTGTGGACAATTTGCAAATATCCTTATTTGTAATTAAGCCTTTTCAAACTGCTTCAAAAGATAATTTTATACAAGTCAGTTATTTTACAATGAAAAGTCCTATTTTTAATATTATTTTTCTTCTCTCCACAAATAATACAATATGCAAAAGTCTGTTCACAATTACAACAACATTAACAGCATGTAAAGTATCTAAGAAGTTAATCTTCATCTGATGAGTATTCCTTGCGTTCCTTCTTTATCTTTTCTACATAGAATTTGAAGGACTCCTGCAATGAGGCAAAAAGAGAGTGAGAAAGGAAACAAGCTATGACTTTAATAATATGCCAAACAAATTGGTCTAAACCTTCTTAGTTTAGTCCTGGAAGCACAACACACATAGTGTAACATTTGGAAACAAATTGCCGTAAGTTAAGAAATCAGCAGAGACATTATCTGTTGTGCATGAAGTTATGTAACTTGGTGTGCAACACACAATGCTTATGATGGTTTCTTTACTTGCAGCAGTTTGTTTCTGACAGATATGCTATTTATGCTTGCAGGTATACCTAAGAGGATTTTTTTGGCCTCTGTTGGTCAAATCCTTATCTACAATAACTCTGCTACTGTACCCATGTTTTCTATCAATTTTCAAAGAAGCAAGGTTTGCTGTTTGGCTCAGGAGATACAAATGTCCACACATCTTGAGGGGAGCCCATCTCTGAGTGGAACAATAATTGGAACAACAGTCGAGACATACCCCATAAACATGAATTTCAGGTATGCAATCTTTTCAATAAACTTTGCCTGACTTTTTTGTCAGCCCTGTGGTATATCTAAATGAAAAGTTAAGCTTTCCTGCTGCCACAGAATGTAATGATCCTTCAAGAATATCACAGATAATCCTAGCTTTAACGGCAAAGCAGTACCTATTACATATACATTAACTTGTCAGCACCTGCTTTTGCAGATCCTCATCCCAAGGTAACACACTGAAGAAGTTATTTTGAGATGTCACCACATTTTAAAAATACATTTGTTCTCCTCAATTAGACAGATTTAGAGAGAGGCCAAGGTTTGTGTTTTTGTTGGCAAAATTAGTAAAGGTAAGTCAATCTGCCTGAGAAAATTAGTTCTCATGTTTTTACATTTTTATCCTACAGATGCTATTGGTGGTGGTGGGAATTCTTACATTTAAACAGTAGCAATTAGCTGAGACCTGAAGCTTTCTGAAGTTAGTAGAAATTGGTTAATTTAAATGGTTGAGATAAAACACTATAAAGATGCTTGAAATTCACACCTGAGCATGGATGCTCAATAATGAAGGCATACTTTAAGCATTTTAGACCCCAGAAGGTTTTCTCCCCCCTCTAGTCAATCAAAAAACTAAATTAAAACAGTGCTGATCATATACTCAGCACTTCAGTTGTATCCTTTGAGGGTTTGCTGTTAAAGCTTAATCCTAGTATAATTAATCATGCCACATTTTTAACACACTAGTATTGCCTACAGAGGTGTTTCTCTAAGAAAAAAAACCCAACCCACTCCCAGTAAACACTCATGGGGGGTTACAAAAGAAACACTCCCAGTAAACACTCACAGGGGGTATATTGAAAGGAACAGGCTCTCCCACTTCCTGTAGCAAAGCTGCGTAACGTTTCAGGAACAACTCATCAGGCTGGAAGTTATCCTCTTTCATTTTCTCATATAAAGCTTTTGCTGAAGCCACATCCATATCTTTAGCTGAGGGAAAAAAAAGAAAAGGAAACAAAACTTTGCAGGGGAAATTTAATTTTTTTTCCTGTTGATCAGCACAGTTTATGCCAGAAATGTCTGCAACTGCTCACTGGGCCAAAAATGGGTTGCTCCACAGCAACACCTAGTCATATTGGTAAAGCCATTCCAGACTGAGTAGCTCTGAAGTAGGGCTACGGGCTTTAATCAATTAACTGGAATGATTAAATGAACTAAAGCTATGTAGCAGCAAATTAACTTTGCCTCTCGATTAACTATCAAAGCTGACAAACAAGGACATCAAGACTTGGGATTCTACAGGGCCCTCTCTCCCTCAGCGCTAGTTAGACTAGAATTGGCAATAATGTCAATAATGACACTCGGCAACAAATCAATTATTGGCTGAAAACTTTGTTTACCACTCAGAATATTTAACATCATCATATAGGGATGTTCTGGAACGTGGAAATCCTCCATACTGCAACTAGTAGCCAAACTTAGATTTTCATTAGAGTATGTAAGGCACCTTGGTCTGTCTGTAGCAAGAAGCTTATTAAAGCAGAGATTATTTGATCTTTGTTACCAAACAGATATAGGTTTGCTAGGCACTCTAAACGGCCCCGTTCTGTAAGATCATTTCATCTCCGCCTTTAAATCTCATTTCCCTTGTCCCCGGATCGATTTGGAGGAAATTTGTTTCTCCTTCCAGTTATTATCCTAAAATAGCAGACATTCTGTTTTTCAGTGAGAAATATCTATAGCTTTCCTTCCAGTAACAAGCAGCATTGGCAACTAAAGGAGAAAAAGCTGACTCCAGATATTGGTATTTCAAGACCACCTTGTATGGTATACAAGCATGCCTAGAATTGGAGAACACAGAGGTGCTTGCTCCATATCACACTACAAGATGTTAGATTGGTGGGTGATTCCCTTCTAAAGAACCTCAGTCTGACTCTGTCCTTATTATCTGAAGAAAAACTAGGGTGTTATTCAACCTTTTTTAAAAAATGACTTAGCCCCCCCCATCTAGATGGAGTATGTACAGGTCACACACACACCCAAACCTCGCCATGTATCAATACTGCTTTATGCAAATGACACTGTAATCTTATCTCAGACAAGACAAGGACTTAAACGATTAATCAACAGATGTGCAGAGCACATATTAAATAATAAACTCCAACTGAATTATAGCAAATCTAAAATCATGCTTTTCACCAAAACTTGGAAATTATTCAGTTGGAAGTTTAAGGGAAATAATACTGAACAGATTAAACCATTTAAATATTTAGGTATACAGTTTTACTACAAACACACCTGGCTTCAGCATCGCAAAGCAGTACAGTGGTGCCTCGCTTAGCGATTGCCTCGTGTAACGATGTATTCGCTTAGCGATGAGGCTTTTGGAGCGATTTTGTGCTCCGTTTAGCGATGTTCTCTATGGGGAAATTTCGCATAGCGATGTTCGGGACCTTGCCTCGCTTAGTGTGACAGTTTAGGTCCCCTGTTTCGCTTAGCGATGTTCCATTTTCGCTATTTTTAAAGTGTCTTAAAATGTTCAAAAACTGTTTTAAATGCTTGGGATCATTAGTGCACCTTGTAAAACCTTTGCAAACTTAATTTTGCTTTGTTCTGACTCTTCGTTCATTTTTTGTTAACCC